ACTACTCTGGGGGAAGAAGGAAAAAAATCTCACAACCCTGCATCCTCCTCCCAGTTAACGGAAAAGCTTGCGGAGCGTTCTCGTCGTGGACTCTTGCTGAGCAAGAGCTGTGAAACATCCCGCTGTCTCTTTCTGAGTGAGCTCTTCTGTTGAGAACGTCTCACTTTTTCCCCTCTGCTCTTTCCCTCCTGGCACTGTGTTACCCAGAGTCGGCCTGGGAGGATTGTAATTCGCCGCTCCTCCAAAGCCGGGGGGGTGGAAAGAGTTTCCACGTGTCCTCCAGTGTGTCTGAGTCAGATGCAGTGTGTCTGTGCATGTGTTGCTTTAAGACTCAACGAGCACCGGCAGGGAGAATCCACTTTGAGATTCAGAGAACGGCAGCAACATTTCTCCTTTGCAAAGCTCTTCAAAGAGCTTTTAGATTAAAGCCCGTGTCACAGAGGTAAGGTATGTAATGGTCTCCGTTTTAGCTTTCTGTCCCTTTGATTCTTTTGTTTACTGGATTAGTAGGAAGCCAGTGGAAGAGGTTGTTTCAGATTGTCTTGCACAAGTGGAAGTTCCTCTGTGTGTGTCCCTATTTAAATGTAGTGGATAGTAGTTAATTTATGATCTATTTTTCTGTCGGTGTGTAGCTTCGCAAGTAAAATGACCTTTTAGTTCTTAAATTTCCTCCCTTTTGCTAATATGCTCCAAGGTTATCAGCATGTATATGTATATTTTTTGGGCCAGACTCACATTCAACACAGAATAATTGAGTTTGACAAACTTTGTCTACACTTTGTATCAGTAGTTGCTGGATGTCTGCATGGTTTGGGGGTGGAGTGGTGTTTTATTCGAAAGTGTTTAGAAACATTTTCATTTTCTTGGCATGGCTCTGGAGTGGCGGTGGTAGACGTGTATAAATCTTTCTGAGAGCTGCCGTGTCATGTTTTTGGTCTGGAGCCAGGCACGGAGCTTCAGAATGTAAAACGAGAGAATCCAAAAGACACTTAACAAGCACTTTGATGGATGTTTGGTGGCTTTGGCTGGATCCACCACATGGTAATATGAGCTCTCAGTGAGTGATTCATAGTTTTGTGCTCATAAGCAAACTACTGTGGGATACTTTAAATCCCATCCATATGACATAATTGTAGCAGGAGACGGGCTGCCTTTTGGCTTCAGTAACATCATTTCAGGTCCAGTTGTTTTTGTTTTGTGCACCAGAGGAACTCGTTGGTTGTTTTGCACAACTTTGATTCAAAGGTGCAAGAGATCTGAAGCTCTGTTGTTGCAGAACAAGTAGAAAATGATAAGAGTATCATGGGTTTTGATTTGAAAGCAGGAAGGCAACCTGATTCACTTTTAACAACTAATGACCTCATAGCGTTTAGCTTTAATTATAGGTATTCAAAAAACGTTGGATTTTGCTGATGTCTTTTATTTGATTAGGTAATTTTAAACCATTTATCGTTTGCATGTACATTTTTCAGTTTTTTTTTCTATAAACCAATTCAACTTGGGCGCATTGCTACTTAAATTAAAGTGATAATTCAGGTCTAAGCAATTAACATCTTACCTGTTGTAGATAACTCTTTGAACAGCCTCAGATCTGAGAAGAAAAATGTTCTGACTGGATTGATGAGTGGGGGAACGCTATTTTATAAACCTTTCTGTCAGCTTTACATTACACAGTTCTTTACATAGAATTCAGTGGTTATTTACGTGTACAAAGACGCACAGTTAGCTATGGTGTTTTTGACGCTACCTAGGGTACTTTCTGCAGGAATATCACAATATTTCTGCTAGAGGTTGTCTACTAATATAAGTTTTTCTATTTCCGATGCCAAGCTTTTCAAGGCAGCCGATTGTGGGTATATAGCACAGAGGTAGTTTATTTATTTTTTTTTTCATTTAGCCTTTATTTATCCAGGTTAGTCTCATTGAGCCACGAGAACTCATTTTCAAGAGAGACCTGTTTTTTTTTTTTTTTTTTTTTTTTTTTTTAGGGAGCACATGGTGGGGTTAAGGGCCTTGCTCATGGGCCCAGAGTGGGGCGAATGAGGGTGGAGGCAAGTGTGGGTATTTCACCTACCCCACCCACAATTTTTGATGTTGTCGGGGCCGGGGTGTGAACTGGCGATCTTCGGATCACAAGCCCACCTCTCTAACCTCTGCGCCACCACTCCCCTAATTTTATTTATTTATTTTTGGCTAAATGTATTTTTCATTAATATGCTAATATATAGAAGAGTATTATCACTTAAAATATAAATTCTGGGCTACAGAAGCTAGTTGTAGTAGCTTTTTTTTTTCACCTTGTTAATTGGGGAAAAAGCACCCAGACTGGACAAGCATTGTTGGGAAACAATTTGGCATTTTTATATCAGGTGCTAGTGTTTTTTTTTTTTAATTTATTTTAAAAGTTTGTTTGTGACAGTAACATTTTTTGTTGTTGAGTATTCAGAGTTTCAATCTTTATTCATGACCTTTCAGAACCCAACTTGAAAACATTTGAACGATCCCTTCAAAAGGACACTTATTTCCTCAAAAGCTACTAAAAGCAATCCACCAGTGATTTCTGTAAAGCTCTGAGGCAGAATAAGTTTTAAAAAAGCACCGACAGCATCCAGGTAAAACCATGAAGGTTATTTCTCTGGAGAATTTTCCAGTTTCATGCTGCTGGGTCAGTAGTTTAATCTGAGCTTGATGATTGCGGCAGACAGAACAAAGATGTGAAGGTCACACTCTTCATGCTCAGGTTGGTTTGTGAAATAGTTTCCTCTTCAACAAATACACGGTGGTCGTCACAAATGAAAACGACAGTTACATCCTTAATACTCTACGCAGCGTCTGTGTTTATACCATACCAAGGTGCGGCCCTGTCTGTGCTGGTTTCCCAGTCCGGAGACAAGAGTGAGACTAAACATGGAGCTTACGTAGGAGGCACCCAAGGGCAGAGGGAGAAGAATGCCAGGTCATGGGGTGTGCTGAGGAGCACTAGGGTGGCAGTGGTCCCTTGGCCTTGGAGCAGATGGCCTATAGGGAGCCTTTTTGACAAGAACAGAGGCCTGGTGGTAAAGAGGGAGGGAGAGTTCAAGACTGGGCACAGTGGTTTGCTGCTAAAAGGAAGACTTGTCTTGTTCTCTCAAAAAAAGAAGACAAGCTGCATAATACACCAGTTCAACTCGCAGCAGAAGGCGAATGTGTGCATCTTTGGGTCTGTGCGTTGGCACGCCTTTGAGTCTTTTCATACTCTGCAGCGCTTAGCCTGAATAAACCTAGCAAGAAAAGCATCAGTAGTGGTGTTAAAAGAAAGCAGTCACCGTGACAAGTTCGACAAGCAGCTCTATGTTGACATTTGGTGTTGTCGACAGCTGCTTTCTCAGTCTTCATTCATAAAAGAATTGTAAAGTCATCTTCATTCATGTGGAGGTGCTTTGAAACATTTTGCCTTGACCTACTTGCCTTTGGTAGTGAAAAGATATTCCTCTGCCTTATTTGATGTATTGCAAAGTGGTTGCATTATTGGGTAAGAGGAATTGAATAAGAAAATATTCCATGTTTGCTTTAGGGTAAAAAGTAGGAAATGGTATGTGTTAAGTTGTGGTTGGACCACTCAAGTTGATCACTATGCAACTACCGGTACAATACTTGAGTTTTGTTTTTGGTTCCATGGCATCCTGGCTTCAATACAACTATCATGGCAAAGATGAAAATTATCGGTGTTCTCTTGCAGGAAAGCTGCCTTAATTCATGGGTTCAGGATTATAGGTTGCTTCAATATCACTTCTGGTGTGAAGTTTGACAAATGACCAATGAAACTTGTATGTAGTTAATCCCCTGATCTACACAGGGTAATGGTTTAAGTTTATGACCAGACCTGCAGGTCTACAACTGAGTTCCCACTAAATTACCCTGCACTACTTTTTTTTTACACTTATTTAAAACTATTGCAGGCAGAAGGAAAAGAAAATCTCCTTACATTTTTTTTTTTTTTTTTTGTGGTCAATTTGTCTAATTTTTACAACTTGTTCTTTGTCTTGTTGTTAGACCTTGGCAACCCTTGAAGATTATTTTTATTTTAATTAAAGGCATTTCTTGAAGGAATGCGTATCACCTGCCATTTATGTCAGTTTCACACTAATAGGCATTGGCCCATTTAGTCTTCCATACTGTTTCAATCCCACCTAACATTCTAGGTTTATCCAAACAAACCCAGTTAAACCGTTACTGTAATGCTGCAGATCATCTAATCCAGAAGGTCAGGACTGTTGGCAGCGAGATATACACTGTAACCTTACACATGCTGTATGTGTGCTGCACAGCTTAGTGGAGTTAGCACTGCTGGAAAGCCTTTGAGTTTCAGCAACATGTGTGCAGGTAGATTACATTACACACGAGATACCACCAGACCCTTAGTGTATCTGCAAATATCACTGCGTCCTCCTTGACCTGGATCGCACCCTCAGACAAATTTGGCAGTGATGAGTGGAAGGGGATGGAAAAAAAACGGGAACGGGCGAGAATTCCAAGGTTTAAAAATAAACAGACAGTTTAACTGTAGTCGACTTTGAAAAACTTTCTCCAGCTCCATGAAAGGCGACGTCATTTAATGTGGGAGGTGGAAAAATGAAACATTTGTTTGGTTTGGAGAGCTGAAAGTTGGATTTTGAGGTGGAGTGAATGTTGAACTTAGCCATGCTGTACAAAGTGCTACCACTCTTACCGTACTGCCATCACCGCTCAGGGTTTAGCCAAGGTGACTTCCCCGTGCAGAAAGAACTATACATCTTTTATAAAACTTAATGTGCAAATCTGTTGTTTCCAATATAATTTTATAACCTTTGAGTTTAACTGTTGCTTTAAGTTGCTAATCTGACACAAACACCTTGTGCCTTATACTGTTCTTGGCAATGAGCTGAGGATTATGTCTGCTCTTAAAGTTGCACACCTTTTATCAAGCATGGGCTCTTATAACACAGTGGAAAGAGACTAAGGCAACATTATTTATGTTTCAGGTGAGCCGGACGATGAAGGAAGAAGTTTATTTTGAGAAATGAGGCATCTAGAGTGAAACAAGACATTTGGAGAGGTAAGTTTAACAACTGTTTTTGTCATATCCAGATTATCAATATATACCTTCTTCTTTGTTTTCATCATGGCGAGAAAATATCAGTTAGTGTTATTTAAATTTCAGGGGTTTGAACAGTTCTTTTTACTCTGCTAGGTGAGCTAATTTAAAGGATTAGTGTTGATCTGTACCTGGCTGTTATATAATCGCATCACAAACCCCAGCAGATACAAACTGTTTCTTTCCAGCATCAATCCCCTGCAGTTCATGTAGTACACCTTGGAGATGAAATGTGTGTCTGGTCATGGCTCTTTTTCTTCAACGAAACAATATTTTTAGACAGTTTGGAAGAGATGTTTCACTTTCTTGAACGCTGTTGTACATAACAACCATGACAGCCTAAAGCCTGTGTATGTCACTCAACTTTATTCTCTGGACAGAATAGAAACAAGAGTAAAATGATATAGAGTAGACCTTACCCATTAAACACCAGATGTTACAGAATTGCATAGTGTCTGTGAAAGACATATGGAAAATATTAAACATGTAGCTGTTTTGATTTGACAACTGTTTTTGCAGATTTAAAGATAATCTATGGCTGTATCTGTATGGTATGATGTACCATTTCTTTATTTGGAGTAATATATAAATTGGAAATATATTGCTGTCAGCTACTTTCCATTTGCTGTAGATACCTTGTTTGGCCAGACATGACTTTTTTATTTTCCACTTTCCTCATTTTTAAGCCCATTTTGCTGTCTTTGTCAGCTACAAAGACTGGACAGAAAATTAGAGAACGTCTAAAGGAAAATTAATAAACAATACCACTTTAAAACGTTTTTAAAAGTCTGTCCCCTTGCCTTGGAAGTAAAGTATAAAGGAATAATGCTTGGTTTAGAGCTTGCACTAATTACTGTATATTACACTGTCTTGTTTGATTCTTACAAGTTTCCCGAATATTTGGTGAAGGCAACATTATGATTTTATTTACCTTTTCTGTTTTTCCAGTCCGGGATGGGGAATTCAGAGAGCCAGTACAGCATTGATGGTTCGAAAGGCACAAGTTTTATTTTTTCTAAGAAACAGAAGCCATATTCTCTGAAGCTCCACTCAACCAAAGATGACGTTCTGTCACCACATATGTGGTGGAAAAATGCCGCATTTGGCTCAGGATACAAGGCTAGGTGTGTTAGCCATGGCTGTTTGTCACCTCCTAAAAGCCACCAGTCCAGCTCTACCCAATGCTGTGACTATGTTTCCAAGGGAGCAAAGGTCAGCAGGAGTGAGCATCGCTGGCATCAGTCCTCTGGGTGTGGGATACGAAGACGTCATACATTAGATGACTATGATGAGAATCCATATGGGACTGGGCTCAATGGGCATGCTCTGAATGGACACAGTAACGAGCACAAGGTTTTAGAAGAACAGAGCAGTCCAAGGGTGGTCATCAAGAAGGATGGTACTCTCAGGGTGGAGTTCACCAACACCTCAGGTAACGCACTCCTCCTGGGTGAAGCCTCTGGCCCTGTTCAGCTTCTTAAGTTTTCCCCCAACCTGGAGTCTGTTTCCACTCACAGCCTGCCTGGTTCCAGTGGTAGCAGACAGGATGTCCACCATGGTGGTCCACCACCAGCCTCTACCTCCTCCAGGGCTAGAACTAGTAAAGGAAGCTCACTGAGCTCTGAAAGCTCCTGGTATGACTCTCCCTGGGGTCCCAGTACAGAACTCTGTGAGCAGGACCAGTCTTGCTCCGCTAGTAGGACTTTGGTAAACTCCCCCATCCACCAGCTTGACTCATTTACAGAACAGCCCACCTCTGGCTCTATTAACAATCTTTACAGGGACTCCACGTTGGCTGCTACTTTCCCAACAGCCAGCAACTTGTCTACCCATTTACAGCTGCCTCCATCAGGTCAAAGAGCACACCGAGCCTCCATTGCATCTGCGTTGGACATTCCTTTGGAGGAGGAATGCCTAGAGTCTTGCCATTACTCATCATACACACTACCTTGTCGCAGGCCCAAAGCTCACACTATAAGTGAGGACATGAAGCAGTACCGAGAACAGGCAGGGCACCAGGAGAAGATGGGGCATGAATTTGTCTTTCAAAAGAAGGACTCCATTAAAAACCGTATTAGACGCTTCAGTGACTGGACAGGCAGCCTCACCCACAAGAAAAAGAAGTCTCAGGTGAGTTTGGCCAACATGGGTTTGCTCATGATGTTTTTGTACAATATGTAGACTTATAGGTCCGATAGGTGCTTCTCATTTGAAGTTGTTTAGTTCAGAGTCACCCTGTAGCTCATTCCCTGTCTTCTGTTATAGCTTCTGTAGCTTTTTGGCCAACAACACAACACAAACAGTTTCCTACTGACCAGGTTCATCTGTTTTTGAGCCACAGTGGTTGTCCTGGCATGACCAGGAACCAACTGCTGTCTTCAGGTTCTTTAGCATCACAACACCAGCTGTCTTGAGAAAAGGGCACAGTGGGGTGACAAGAAATTAAATTTGCAAGGCTTTGGTTTTTATTTTCACAAGACCTAGGATGCAAGATACTTTTTGTACAAATCATAACTGATCCTCCCAGGAAGAGGAGTAAGGGGCTGATTTTCACGTGCCATTATTCCTGGGTGCATACATGTAAAATGTTATTATGTTCAGAATATGACTTCATGTTAAACTACTACTTTTTGCGGTTGGTTGATCTGTGGTTATTATTGCATTGATTGTTTACACAGGTTTTTAAATATTTGAGCACGTTGACATCAGAGAGAAGTAAAATAAATGTAGTAGCGTGATTTCCCAGGAGTAAAGTGATACTTGAACTGCACAAATCAGAAGATAAATTAGAATTAACTACAGCTTGTCTGCTTTTTTACGCGTCTTGTGATTTTTGTAGTCCAGTCTACAGTCTTTCAGGCCATAATTTAACGGAACGCATTTGTTTAAACCGAACTTGTACTTGTCCCTCTTTGTTTTTGAAGCTTGTAAGCGTTTGTTTCTGTATTAATTCTCTTAGCTTTGCCTTGTAAAACTTTTAGGAACGCTCTTTGGGTTTTGCCAAGAGAATAGCTGTAAGCTTGAAAGGCTCTGCAGAGTGAAACAAAATCCAAACAGAAGATTTAACCCAACCCCTCCTCTAATGTTAATGAAGGAACTTTGGTTGTTCGCAGATTTTCTAGGTTCCTCTCACGTTCCTCAGAGAGTAAATCCTCTAATAGGGATTTGTGCTCAGTCAGTTGGCTGTTGCAGCAAAACAACCAAAAGAATAGAACAATTACAGTATTCAAAAGGCATTTTCTTTTGTGCAGATTTAAGAATTTGTGAGCTACTTTTTGTGCTCAAACAGATAATCCTAAATAAAATGTGCAAGATGCTTTGGAATGTCACAGATTCCCAACTCTACATTGACAAATATGCATGTCAGTCTAGCAGTATTCATTCGTTCGTTCTCCTAAATATCCTACTGGTCATGTGCTGGTGATTATTAACTGGTTATTGTGGCACATGCTAGAACCTGTCTGCAGAAATCTTCAAGAAAAACAAAAGGATAAAGCCGTAGTTGATCCACTTTATTACAGGCAGGGTTAAATGCTTAACATTATTCGGTGTGGGAAAATTCACGCAAGTTTTAAAAAAAAGAATCAGCCTTTATATGTACCTTACATTTTGTCGGTGAGTTTTTTCAGCAGTCCTGCTAAAATCAGAAGCACGCCCTGCAATTGGTTTCTCTCTACCTGAACCTGTAGATTGAAAAGGTCATACCATGACCCTGATGCCAAAGACTAAGAAGCTCCTTGTAATGATAACCAGCTGTAGGTGGAGGGGAAGAGCAATAAATCTGGGCTTTGCTAACCTAATGGAAACTAGGAACATCCTGGGAAAGACCCATCATGAAAGCAGTTAATTTTCTTTCAGATGTTCCTATAAATACTGTGTATTTCATGGTAGCAGGTGCACATAATGGTTAATAAAAGGGAATACTGAGTTCACCATGTATGTTGATGCCTTGCAAGTTCAACATCAGATGAGTGCTGTCATACAGTATTTTAAAAAAATCCCCTTAAATTGTTAAAAAAAAAAAAAGGAGTAAAAATTAACATAAAACGTATCAGGACTCTAAGCTGAGTGTGACGTAAAGCAGATGTCTATCCTGACAGCATAAACTGAGTGTCTGCTTGTTGAGAGTGCTTCGCTCTGCTGCCAGGGGGTGGGGGTGAATCGATGATGCAATCTAGTCAAGTGTAGGTAGGCTGTCATTAAGGATGAAAGGGTGTAATTCCATCAAGTGTTCATTTGCGGAATCAGGAAGCTACATAGAGACGTCAAATGTCGTGAAGTTGTCTGAGCTGAGAGGTTTCCAACCAACCAGGTGCCCTCACAGACGTTTTGTCCTACTTTCTTAGCTTTCTGAAATATTTAGTGACCGAAGAAAGTTTGAGTTGACTAGAGTTGAAAGTTTTTCAGTGTTTCTGTGCTAATTGAAAGAAATATATTTGAATTGTCTCCCATGGTATGACAAGGAACCCAAAATGGAATAAGCGGGTAAAGATAATGGATGGATGGATGGATGGTATGACAAGGAGTCTGTACACGTGAAGGGAAATGGGATGAATAAGCCAAATAAATTCAGTGAACTTGTTTTTATTCTTGTTTCGTAGTTCACTCCTATGTCCTCTGACACGTCTTTCACCTCCTCAGGAGATCAGGTCCAAGGACCTGAGCGATGCATTCGACAGTGGTATAGATGGTCTGACTGCAGAGACCAGCTCTCCGTCTCAGGTCTCCAGCCTCCTCTGGTACCCTCGAGCCTCCAGGGCGCAGTCTTCAGGAGCCATTCACCAAACAACGAGCGACGCTCTTCGCCAAAACATCTACGAGAACTTCATGAGGGAACTGGAGACAGAAGCCGGACAGGGAGATGGAAGAGATGTGGACATAGAGGAGGATGGGAGCAGCAGCGAGTCGGCCGAGGGCTCCCTGGAGCAGCTGGAAATTTTGTTTGAAAAGGAGCAGGGCGTGGTCAGACGGGCAGGCTGGCTCTCCTTCAAACCTCTTGTCACCCTGCACAAGGACAAGAAGCTGGAACTGGTGACCCGCCGCAAGTGGAAGCACTACTGGGTGACTCTGAAAGGTAAACTTACTCTCTTGTGGTTTTCACAAAGAAGTTAAGAAGATTACTTAAATTTCAAGCAGAATTAGTCAATGAAAGGGTTTTACTGATCATAAAATTGTGTGCATGCCTCTGTTTTCATGTCCATTTTTTCAGGATGTACATTGCTGTTCTATGAAACATATGGGAAAGCCTTTGCGGAGCAGGACCTGTCGCCTCGTTATGCTCTTTTGGCAGAGGACAGCATCGTCCAGGCTGTACCTGAACACCCAAAGAGGGAGAACGTCTTCTGCCTGAGCAACTCATATGGAGATGTCTATCTGTTCCAGGTAACAATCTTTTTCTAAATGGCACTGCGATACTCACCAGCAAGTCTGAAAGGTTTATGATGCTTTGAATTTCTGAATTAATAGAATATTGCTCTTAATGCTTCATCAAATCTCCACTTATCTTTGCTCTTTAAGGCCAGTAACCAGACAGATCTGGAGAACTGGGTGACAGCCATTCACTCTGCGAGCGCCTCACTGCTCGCCAAGCGCCAGGGGAAGGAGGACACAGTGCGTCTGCTGCGGAGCCAGGTCCGCACCCTGCTGCAGAAGATAGACATGGACGGGAAGATGAAGAAGATGGCCGAGCTGCAGCTGACTGTGGTCAGCAACCCTAAAAACCGCAAAGCTATTGAGAACCAGGTGATGATCCCTGAATTGACTAGATTGGCATCATTTAATAATTTGTGAGACCTAATACACGTGTGTAAAGTGGTGAAATATTTTGCTGATTTTACACAACCTTCTGCGTGCCATTGTTCCACATCATGTGTGTAATTACCACGTCGTGTGCTCTACTTAATTCTCCTGATTTGGCGACTGCGGTGACAATTTGGTGCTTTATTTTTGTCTGTGGGTGGGAGAAGTGGCCCAAATGCATCAGTTTCCGAGCGCATAGCGAGGGGCCCTGGGGAGCAGCTCGTTCCCGGAGCATCAGATTGGGATTCCAGATGTTTTCTGGTAATGGGCTCACAACATGCATTATCCTATTCCTCCTCCTCGACACAGCCTGGGGCTGCAGGAGGGGAGGGGAGCATCCAAAGCACTCAACGGTGTGCTGTAGCAGCTACATGCAGCAGATTAGAGGGGCAGAAAAAATTTAACAAGAACACTAATACTTTTACAAGAAATTAGGGTTAGTTGTGGAATGTGGGAAAATCCAGCTGTTTTTTTGTTTTGATTTTTGTACCTGCAACTCAGGTGGTCAAATGTGTTCTCTTTACTTCCTAAAGAACTTCATATCATGAGGATACTCACTGCTGATGATCTTAAAAACAAAAAAAAGAGCTCTTGTGTTTTGGCTGAAATTGTTATGTTTGCTGTAAAAATCCAACAAATGTCGAAAGGAACATATGGAAACACATTTTTCGAAGCTAAGACAAATTCAGCAATGACCAGTGGAGAGGTCGCTGCCTGACTAACAGACTGTGCTCACGTCTGCTTCCAATTAGCCAACATGCCACCTCAGAGAGACGTGATGGAGTTGGAGTGAATGATAGGGTCACAAGTGGGATGGGACAGGACTCTGATAAAGGCGCCTCGAGGCTGATGAGAGATTTAAGGTTTCTGTGGGGTTGTCTAGCGCCAGCAGGGCACTACTTTGATGTCTACACCCCCCACCCCCACCCATGTCTACTGAAATCAGTGCCAGTAAGACCTCGTTTGAAGTTTGCCTTCGTATCACGCGCATGCAAACAGTGCGATCAGGTTGCAGCGAAGGACTTATCATGCATTAAGGGTTTTACTGCAAGCAAGGGGCAAACGTGGAAAATAATACTTCTGCTTAGTTTAATGCCTCTGGATGTTAATAAGTTGTGAACAGAAGCTAAGTGGGCGCAAACATGCATTTTACTACTGCTGGTTTGATATTCTTCTGAAGGATATAACATTTTATGCATGTTACTATTTCAGGAGACTCCTAAATGATGATGCAATAATATGACTGTTCACAAACATTAGAATCCAGATTTATATATACAAAATATGCCAGTCAATTTCCAAAGCTTTGCTTTTTAAGAATGTAGTCTGTCATACTTCCCTTCTCTTTTGTCAGCATCTTCAATTGACTAAATGGATTCAAAACAAAGTGCATCTTTGTAAATTATGTAAAAATATCATAGGAAAAAAAGAGAAATTAAAAAACAGCATTCACTTCAGTTTATTTATTATAGCGCCAAGTCACAACAGAAGTTATCTCAGGGCGCTGAACAAATATATTCACATACATAAAAATTCAATTAGTAACATTATTTATATGAGGTAGGGTAGGGTAGCCAGTAGATTGTGTTGCTCTTTGTGTTACAGATTTTTATTGTTTTTAGTTTAATTAACATCAGATTTTGGCAGGACTTTTTGACAAAACGTCCACGTTCTATAAATTACGGTGCAGATCTTTTTTAAATGTATTATTAAATAGTGAGACGTTTGCAGTAGACACTTTGAACACATCAGTTAGGTTTAATCATAAATAGCCAAGTGCAAAATATTTTTTATCAAAACAGCACATTTCAGACTTTAAGGCTAGGTTTATAATCTCTGAATGACTCAAAGCTTTAACTTTACCCACCTGCTCAGTAACATACACCGTTACTCAGAGTGCATTAGTCCCACAGTAATTTCTCTGCGAGGCCTTTGTCTGACGTGTTTGTTTAAGATGCTCATAAAATCCCACCCTTTGGCCCTCTTCACAGTTTCTTCCTAACCCCTAAGAATGCAGTCAATGTGAACAAAACCTGATGGGACAACGCAGTAGGGTGCATTATAGTCAATGAAGTCATAGTCCAGACAAGGCCTATTAAAGTCACTTGTTATAGAGGGTTGTTTAATGTGAGTGTTCTTGTTAAAACAGGCTCCAGCTAACAAAATAGGCACTTTCCTATAGCTTACATAGGGCAAATGGGGAGAGAGGGGAGCTACAGTAAACTGGAAGTGTGAGTGGAAGTTTGACGGGTGGTCTGTAGATTTTCCTCTCAAGACCAAAAATATGCTTTCTGAATTACTACACATACAAAAGCACACCCCTCTGCTAGATCTGGAGTCATTTGTCACCGTTCAACTTCCACCAAGTCACAGCGTTACCCTCCACCAACATCTGCATGCAATTACACTTTGAGCGAAAGCATTTGCCTGACCCAGGATCCTTCTTCGACTCCCCACCCCTTAAAGCATTCCTACCTCAGAGATCAACCCCATGAAATTAAAACCAATTTAAATCAAAGTAATATTCCCTGTCCCCCTGCAGATTCAACAATGGGAGCAGAACTTGGAGAGGTTCAACATGGACCTGTTCAGGATGCGCTGCTACCTCGCCAGCCTTCAGGGTGGAGAGCTGCCAAACCCCAAAAGCCTGCTGGCCATCGCCAGCCGACCCACCAAAACCACCCTGGGACGCCTTGGGGTTTTCTCTGTCTCCTCTTTCCACGCACTGGTAAGGAAACCAGTAACAGACCTCAAGATGAATGACTGAACAACTGATTGAGAATAAAGCATCAGAAAACTAGAACTGACCCTTGCAGATGCTTTGAAGTGACACTTTTTGCATGTGACCTTTCAGTTTTCGTTCTGATTGCCGTGCAACATTAACTTTGAAAATCCTAATTATTTGCATGTCCTATAATCTATTTCTTCATTTGTTTAAGGTTGAACATAAACTGTAGTTGATCGTTTGATTAGCTGGAATTTGGTGCTGATTGCGGTCTTGATACTGTGCTCAGATCTGCTCCAGAGACGAGGCCACAGCTAGGAGGCGCTCAATGTCCCTGAACTGCCAACAGCGCAAGAGGGGCCTGTTTTCCTCCCTTAAAGGCTTGGACAACCTTACCAAGAGGGGCCGAGACAAGAGACCCTCTGCGTCACAGGTATACTGTTCTCACGGTCAAATCCAAGTGATCTCTTTTACATGGGAGGCCTGGGCCATAAGTATCGTCTTCTGCAATGTAATCCAGAGTGATGAACCACTTCAGGCAGTCTGAATCAACAATTATTGCTCGTTTCTTGTGTTCATCAGCAGTAAAACAATACACAATCCCACACGCAAAGCATGCAGCAATGTATTAACGTGTGCAGGCTATGTTGACGAGCATCTCTTGGGGGCACAGCTCTCTCAAAAGATACAGCTCACCCCCTCAGTGCAATTTGTGCCTATTTGTTAATGAAACAGCCTGAAGCCATGCTGCCATTTTGCTTACTTGCACGTAAATCTGCAGCTCTTTCAGCACATTTTCCCCTCAAGAGGGAGGGGGTTTAATAATTAAAAGCACATCCCTCCTGCTTTCCTCCAAATTTGACTGCAAACCTCCCATCAGCGTAAACACATGGGAGCATTTTTTTACCCAGGTGCAGATGAGGAAGTCTAAATCCTCTCAGGTTAGTAATTAGAGTCATGCAGGACGCCTTTTCTATTGTTACATAAATCTACCACTCTAGGCCCTGAAGGCCATGGAGAGTACTCAGGAAGCTCAAGTATTTCATGAACCTCTGGTCTTAAGTTAATAAGCTAGAAAACTCAACTCAATGCACTCTGGCCTCAAAGTCTGAGCTACAAGTTAATCGTATTCTTCATTTGGTAGCTGTGATTCCTGTCTGCATACAAAAAGTTCCCTGTCCTGGTTTCCTTTTCTCATTTATCCCACCACCTGTTGTGTGATATTTATGTTTGAGCTCCTACCGGCCCGGCCCAATGAGGTGATGTTTTGTGGTGCAGAAGTCCGAGGTGGCGCTGCGGCATGCACATGAATAATTAAAAGCAACGTGTGGCCAATGGCACTCTCCCCTCTCTCCTCAGTCCCACAGACACAAACAGATGGCTGGTGTAAAGATGCTCGATATTAAATAGCTGCCCTTTTACCCCCCCAGGTTTATGTTTTTATTTAGAGTGAATAATCATTGCAGTGTTTGGATTTGTTTACTCTCTACGGGAAATTTAATTCAGCTGTGGCCATTTTAAATGATATCGTCATCAAATTGGTTGTTCACTGATGTGGCACTGAGAAGAGACACGTCTCTGCTTTAGAAGGATTTGGACCGCAGGGTTGTCACGTGACCCACTCTCCTTCATGCATTCAAAATTTTCTGACTCTTTTATCAAGATATCCTCTCCCTGTCCCCTTACTTTTGCCCTCCATTAATCTCACTTGCCCCAACTGAGGCACACTATCTTTTACTGCCTTTTTCAGCATATTTAACATCTTGAACCTTAATAGTTTATCTTTTTTCCTCCCCAATTCATCACATCATCCCCCCACATCCAATCCCAACTCCTGTTCTCAAACCATTTCTTAGAGCATAAACATCAGTGTTACCCAGCAGTTCCTCTCCCACAGTTTCCTTCCCGTCTCATCTATGTTGACTGAGCCTAAATCTCATTTACCACTGCGACGCTCCGCTCCAGAACTTTGCCCCAAAATCATGCTCCCCTCCCACCCTTCACCTTCTTTTCTGTTTCTGTTCCCTCATTGATCATAGCTACTCTATGAAGCTGGCCATCAGTCAGCTGTGGAGAATAGGCCAAGATCTGAGGATTTGAGGGAGTGTTGGTAAAGCGATCTAAAATTAGACAGATTATATAAACTGTTTATAGCCAGTTTATAAATGAACGTGTGCTGAAGAGGAGAGTATCCTGCAGTTCAGGACTCCTGCTTCTAAAACAGGGGCTAGGAAGTTTGTGCTTGGGTTATTATTATAGTAATTTTGAGACTTCTTTGCATCGGTTTAAAACTGTAGGTTGCATGCTCGAAGCAAGAATTTTCAGCAGTGAAGGGTAGTTGAAGAGGGGGAGAGCGCTTGTTCTCTCCTCTCATCTGCAATCGAACTGTTACCTCCTTTCATCTCAAGTGTCCGTGCACTGCCCCCCACTTCACACGCACGCAGCATACTTTCACCACAGCACCTTCAAAGGCTCCGCATCTTGTTTGGAAGCTGTATTAAAGTTCTACCCTCGCCACGAGTAGTTTTTAATTACCTATAACTACCAGCGACGTGTGTGTCTAATATTGTGTTGCTGAAGCAACGTGTGTGAGTCAGGCAGTGCGTTGCCCCCTGTCTGCGCTTTTAACGGTCCGACGTTTGATTTCAGATCTTTGAGGGAGATGCTGGAGGTCAGATGTACACCCTGCCACCCAAAAGCTCTGAGGTGAGTCAGCTGATTCTGCAAATTTAATCAGTTTATAGGGATTTTGGTACTCCATATCTCATTTAAAAAAATCCCACTTCTGTCAAACGCCTGTGGCACAGTGGTCAGTTAAAAGTGTGAAGGACCTACAGGGAGATCGGGTCTTCTGTTACTTTTTGACCACTGCTGTGTTTTATGGCGTCAATAGTGGGGAGATATTTTTACACGTTGTGTGTGTGTGTGTTTGCGCGTGCATCTGAGTGCATTAGTTGCTCAGGATCAAAGCAAAGATTTCTTTTTATGTTGATCTGCAGGTGTTTGCAAGATAAACAGCAGCGCTAACAGGAGAAGTTCACCACGGTGAACACCTCCTGTAAGTTGATGTGAACAGAAATACGTGCAATGACTGTTTGAACGAACGGTGTTCTGTGTATGGATTTATAACAAATATAATTTAATAATTAACGAGTTTGTACCCTGCTGATCTGAGCAGCCAGGTTCTGGATTATTAAGTGGAGGCACGTTAATGCCTCAACTTCTAAAATCGCTGGTTAAAAACTGAAATATATCAAAGCTGGCTCTTTGTGTGAGATTATTTTTCTCTTTAGTTTGAACTTCAAACTGAATTTTGTAACTTTTTTTTTTTTTTTTTTTTACAATCAAAGGAGCTCATTATTGGCCCAAATCCACTTATTGACAATAAACTGTAAAGATGCTGATGCTGAGATTAGAAACTCACCAACCTAAAGCTGCAGTAATCATTATAGATTAAACACAACCAATACATGGGCTTTTCTCTTTAGTTGAAATCTTTGCTCCAGATATTTTAAAGGTATTTTATGCAAGATCAAATGATTGCAGTAATTGTAGGTGTTTACTGGCTGCATCTTCAATGAGCCGTGATAGACAACATAGTTGGACATCAAATATTTTTGCTGTTATTAGTTTTTTTTAAGGCTCAATTAATGAATGCAACACCAGGATAAGCTTGAAAAATCATGTTAATAAAAAAATCTCCCAATTTAAGTAACCAATTTGATCTTCATGCCAAAACATTTACCGTATTTTCCGCCGTTCCGGTCGCACCGCCCTATAAGTCGCATCAGTCCAACTATGTCTGATAAAGTGGAAAAATCCATAAATATGTTGCTTCGCCGTATACGTCGCATCTATTATGCATCACTGCTGACGCGTCGCATTTGTTACGATTCTCCACTTACAAGCTGGAAATGTGAGCTGGTGTTGTGCCAAAAATCGATTGGCTGCCAAATGGCAGCCACGGGAGCGTGCACGGGAGGACTTTGACAAGAATTTAACAAGTTTAACACTTAACAAAAGTATGTTTGCTTGAAATTATAGTAAAGATGTGTCTCAGTCTAACTTGTCCTTAATAAATGCATTTTGATGGTCAAATCTGCTGTATTTTCAAAAGCCGATATGCGGAAACATGAACGTGCAGAGGGACAAGCCGCTGTGCATTTCTTCAAAATTTAACTAGATAACCACCTAATAACAATTATTTGTTTGCTAGAAATTATAGCTAAGGTGTGTCTCAGTCTTAACATTTCCTTAATAAATGCACTTTGCCAGTCAAATCAGCTGCATTTTCAAAAGCCGATATGCGGAAACATGAATGCGCAGAGGGACGAGCTGCTGTGCATTTCTTCGAAATTTAACAAGATAAGCACCTAAAACAATTTGTTTGCTCGACTTTATAGTAAAGGTGTGCCTCAGTTGAACTTTTCCTTAATAAATGCACTTTAATGGTCAAATTAGCTGCATTTTGCCCGAGCGGCGCAGGGAAATGAAGCTTTTTTGATGGTTGCTCCAGGCAGATGACTGTGGCAGGCTGTGGGAAGCCGATTGTGTCATTATAGCCACTTTGACCTATTACATGATACAATGGCATGCCATACTGCTCGACTGCCATCTAGCGGCTGGAAATGGTAGTGTTCAATATTTTCAGTCAGAATGAATGAAAACGGTCATATCTCAGTCAAAATTTGATTTATAAATATGGGGGGAGGAAAAAATCATAAATACGTCGCTTCGGCGTATAAGTTGCAGGGCATGCAAGTTATGAAAAAAACTGTGACATATAGGGCGAAAAATACGGTACTTAAAATTTTTTTTTTTCCAATTTTGAGCCAGAACAAATGGCTATTTTTTTTAAATAAGCTTTTTTTATATTGCTAAATCATTAAACTGAATAATTTAGATCAAAACAACAAGAATCATGAATGTTTGGCATAAAAAAAAAAATCCTGTGCAAATGTAGGCAGCTGTTGTCTAACACGATACGTTTCGTTTCCAATGAGAAATCTCTGTCATGATGAAATGTGACACTAACAGATGAGTAGCATGGACACTTTCAGACAGTGCAGGATGAATTAATGAGGATTGTGGTTTATCAGGATGCACTGATTCACAGTAAGACTTTGTGGTCATGTAGGGTGTAGAAAAAAGATTTAGAACAGGAAGTGCTTCATGAAAACAATGATGTCTTTTATTAGGTCTGTGCTTTAAATGTTGATTTATATGCCCCAGCTTCCCCTTCAGTTGCGCTTAAACCTCTTAGGTTTGGATGCAAACATAGAAAATGGCTTATTATGGGGGATCCGCTTTGATTTAGTGGGGATTAAGACTCCTCAGGATGTGAAGTAAAAGAGAGACATAGTTCTTCTTTTCAATCTTAATGACTTTGTGTTGGTTGCTGTACTTTATACACAAATCCCTCAGATTACACTTATAAGCAATAATCATTCATTAATCCTTTGCAGGAAAGTCAAGTTAAGGGTATGCTAGTGCATGTCCAAGCTTCACTGTTGAGAGCTCCCTCTTTACAGGCAGCAAGTCCAACAGGCTGACTTTCTTCTGACACTGTCTGTATGTATGTGATGGAGTTGTCGGAGCTGCAGCCGACCTGCCTTATGCAAGCGTTATAACTGACTGGTCTGGTTTTGCTCCACAAACTCCCCGTCCACCCACTCCTGTCAGCGGCAGAGCAGGTTGAGATGTTTTGACGGCATAAAAAAAGTGACATGCTTGACTAAACATCACAAAAGTTTGAGTCATTGCTGTTTAATGCATGCCGTTACTTTTTAATTATTATTTACTGTCTGTGTTTGTCTGCACAGTGAGCAGAATATCTCATAAATGACTGAACAGAATTAAATGAAACGTTCGGAAAGTAATGACTTTATCCACAACTGATTAAAATTTGGAATCAGTTCATTTCAAGATGGCTGTGGCTATACCGCCTCCGTTTGACAAATATTGAGCTAAAATTTGAAGTGATAGTAGCTGAGCATCATTCACAAAACATATTCCTTGTCATGTTTGGGATATTGAATGAGGCTGTGCATGATGTTGTTTTAAAAAAAAAGTCATTATTTCTCCACTTGCTCTTGGTCTAAAATTATGGTAAGAAATGCTGGGCTTGTAATTTTATTACGTTTTCCCTCCAGTGTTTCTCAGACAGAATGCAATACACCTAGAAATACAATTTTTTGAAGGTCCTAGCTCTTGACCAGCACCCTTTTATCCATGAAATATGTATCGTCTTCACCTCTCACCACACTCCACTAACTGAAAAAACCCAAGCGATGCTTTAAATCCGTCTGGGTTGTCACTGTTGTCACCTTGTGTCCATGTGGCCGCATGGAAAACTGTTATAGGAGTGCAAAGAACTTTGGGTGGAGCATTTAGGAAATGAAGAGTAATTCCCTTTGAAAAGATCTAAAAAAAAAAAGGGGGGGGAAATGACAGTGCTAGCTGCTTCTTTGCAGTCGGTGTATCTATTCTGAGCAATGCTGTAATATTTGTGTTGCCAAGGGCAGCAGAAAGGGTGTTTTCGGGCAGTGTCCGTTATTCCACGTTTAGAAGCTTCTGGGTGGAGAAAGGCTGGCTAGGAAATAATTTTCATTCTTAAAGGGAAACTCTGAAGTATTGAACTATTTGGCAGAAGTGCAAACAAAAATAGCATATCGGTACATACAGTTGCCACACAGAGCCCTTTTTAAACTTCAGCGCGTGCCTCTGCTGTCCGCTTGGCAGCCGTTCATGGAACGTTGACCAGGCAACCGTTGGGCCATGAATGAGTGTACAGTGTTGGTCAACTCTTGGTCAGTGTAGGAAACCCTGTTTCTGTTTACACTGATATTGCTGGGACACAGATGAGGCTGTGATACAAACCTGTTGCCATGTTGTGCTTCATAAGCATTAGCACCATTAACACTTGTGTTCCTTATTCATTGCAGGGAGGGGGAAATATTCCATGCTTCTTCAGATTTAGTCATTTAAACAGAAAACAAGATGGATGTCTGTGCGCTTGTGCTGATTAGACCTGTGCTGAGAGCGTTGCTTGTGTTTGTGGAGCTAAGCAAAGCCCTGAATCAAAGACTTCTGCTTTGGGCTGTTTGTCTGGCAGGAGAAAAAGCCTTTTTTTTTTCTTCAGGAGGTGATTCATCAAAAACAGGCAGCCAGCTTGTGACATGAACAGAAAAACTCCTACATATTAGATAGAAAATCTCAGGCACTCCCATTTTATAGTTTTGTAGCGCATTTGAAACCTTTCCAATTATCCCGCTTGGTCCCAAGTCTCAGTTAAACTTGTCAGGGCATTTGGCGTGATGGAGCCTTTCCTTCAGATCTGTGGCCTTAATAATTGTGGTTTTGAGCTGCACGGTGGCGCCTCCCTCGGCTCCACATCTCTGCTGTGGCGTTTTCCCCCTCCAGAGACACAAAGTCTCAACCAAAAGCCCCAAATGGCTGCCTGTGAGGCTGAACGGTGGGTCAGCCCCCCCGCACCTTAATATCAACTCTAACTTTACTGTTAATGCCACAAATAATTCAGCATGTAATTACGGCCAGAATGTTTGGAAATAAATTGTCCCTGTACGTTACAATAATTAAAAAAAAAACCTTCTCGGACGACTCCGGAGATTTTGTCTGGACGTCTAGACTAGCCAGCTGGCCCCCGCCAATCTTCTTGTGTACATGGTCATTATGGGGACTATAACATGGAGCAACTGCCGTCTATGTTGTCGAATGAATTTCAAAGAGGCTAGTTGTATGACATCTTTGCTCCACTGCTTGATCCACAGCCAAGCATTTAGACTAATGGAACTCTATTGATTTGTGAGTTGTGAAGCTCAGCTCTCACTCCCGCTCATGCTTGCCTCTTTTATCCCATCTTTATCTCTTCTCTTAAATCCTCCTCTTCTTTGTCCCTCTACAATTTATCCTCCTTTTTTCCTTATCTTCTTAGAGACTCAATGGGCTGACCAGCATTTATTCCATGTCGCCCCCTGATGGGGGTATTTGGGGCAACATCAGCGTCAACTCCGACGAGCTGCTGTGTGTTTACATGCCAGACGGCCTGACTGTCCAAGTGCCCGCCAGAAAAGACCAGACAGCCACCGACCTTCTCTGTGCAGCTTGCAAGGTTGGATTTCAGAGAAATGCCATTTCACCACAGTTGGAGAATATTTTAAACAGTTGGGGGGAGAAAAAGAGGAACAGAAGCAGCAAGGCCTCCTGAAATGCATTGTCCTTTGAGTGCAGACTATGAATGAAAAACATTTATTTTCCAAAGCATCTGCAGGAGTACACTTGGTTGCAATAAGCAGAACTGAAATAAGTCATTTAATGCCTGACTTCTTAATGTCCCCGATGAATGGCTGCACATAAACTGACACACGCAACGTGCACGCAATCCCTGCAGGCGAAGCATCTTAGCATCTCTTCGCCGCGTGTAAAGTCTGTAAATAATTCACACCTCGCCTGCACAGCTGCTGCCAGACTTCAGTGCATGAGAAATGTCATATCATTTTGTGCGTGCAGGCCTCTGAGCATTAAGGGGCTCTTGTGTAAACAGGTGAAACAGCTGGACCCTGGCTCACACGGCCTCCGGCTGCAAAGGCAGGCAGGGCGGGACGTGGAAGTTCGCTACGTGGCTCCTGGTGAGCTTCTCCGTGACGTGGTAAGAAGGACGAGCCCCCACACCTCACGTCATTATCCTGCCTTTTCTTCATTGTTCATTGATTCGTTTCACCTCACCCAGCAGGTCGGTGATCAGCTGGAGGTGGTTCCAGCTAATGTGTTTACACTGCACATGAGAAGACCTGGCAACGCTGCTGACTTTGGTGAGTCAGGTGGACAAAGAGTGAGGAGTTTTATGCACAACCCACGGCTGTTTATAAAATTACCTCTCTGGGATCATTTTGTCAGGTTTTGCAGTAACGGGTCACACCGACAGCCAGAAGAACAGCAGGATTTTTGTCAGTGAAGTGCTCCCTGAAGGACTGGCCTTTAATGAAGGTAGTTCCTGCTTAATTCTGATCCCTAAACACACCCGTAACGGTGGCATGAGTGCCCTATGTAAATGTTCTCTGAAACATTCTTGTGTGTGTGTGTACATTCAGGTTTGCGTCCAGGTGATGAGATCCTGGTGCTGAATGGCCGATATGTGTCGACCGTGGAACTGGCTTTGATCCAGACTCTGTTTGCAGAACAAACCCTGCAGCTGAGGGTGAGGCGGGACGGTCCTGCTCTGGCCTCAGACTGCCCGGCTCCTCCATCAGAACACAGCCAGGGGGTTTGCAGCAAACACCACAGAGCCAAGTCCTCATCAGGTGCGTTCATCCACATGCATTTAAAAAGTGCATTTAAGGAGGATTTAAAAGCAGATGTGCTTTTATAAATATCTGACTACAAGTTTAACGCTTAGTTTCAAACATTGTTGAAATGCCCCACCTTAAAGTTTTATCTTATTTTTTCTTTTGTTTGTTATATATATTTTTTTCTTTTTACTTTGTATTTGTTCTCTTATTCAAATAGTCATTTTGGTTTCCTGTTTTGTGAGCCGTGCATGACAAAGCAGCTTTTATGTAAACAAGAAAAGTTACGGTCTGTCGCTCACATTAACAATAACAGCTGAAATGGTGGGTAGTTGTGACACTTTAACCTCATTACCAGGCACCAAACTTCTGCTCTAGTTGACATTTACACTTCCTGAAAAAGGCTCAGTTTATCTTTGCCTACCAAAAGCCAAAAGAGGCGGCAGAAAAATTAAGCTTAGGTTAATTTTAACAGCATTCCAGGAGAAGGTTTTCATTGCAGTAAGTGTATTTTCTTTATGAATGTATGCCGTCCTGTCTGCTTGGTTTAATTTCAGCATGCATGTGAAGGGATGAAACTGAACGGTAAGGTCATTCATGTCACATCAGATGCACGTGATGCCGGCTGGTTGAGAAGCAGTTTGTTATTGAAGCCCAGACTGGAGGGTATCATTGAAAGTTCAATTTTTTTTCCCACAACAGACACACAATCTTGTGTTAAATAACATTATGAGGTTCGTTAGACTTGTATTTTATTCCCTTTTGTTGGACAGAAATTGTTGTTTTAGATAAAAGTGGTGCACAAACAGAATTTATTCCAACTTCACAATCCCATTTTTTAAGTTGTTTTATTGCAGGGGGAAAAAAAAAACAACCCCAAAGAGTCCATTTCAAAGAAAGTGTTAAGTGTCATCTTAATTATAGCAATTCATTAGTGTTGCTGTCTCTTCAGACATAATTGAACACAAAGGGATTAATGACTTGAAGGCCTCATTACTGCAGTTGAGAATGATCAAAGCGCCTGCAGTTCTAATCTTCACCCCTAGAGGGCGCATGGTCCCAGGCAGGCGGTAAACACCACCAGCAGAGGAATTAACACTTCTCTGACAGAAATTACAAAAAGGCTTCTTTTTTTTTTTTACCCACAAAGGAAACAGTCTGTCATCTTGTGTTTATTGAACTTGATGCAAAAGTAAAAGAAGTGAGAAATGACAGCAACTGATTTTATTTTATTTTTTTAAGAAAATCTTTTCTTTGTGTGTTTAAAGCAGATTTTTTGACAGCCTTGAAAATATGAAGTTCATCTCTGCATGATGATTTTTTTTTTTGTTTATTTCCTGCAGTTGCATTGGCCTTTCTCCCAGGCTACAATGATAAATAACATGTTTCGTGTGCCAACTGCTGGAGACTGTCCTTGGGACCTTGAATTTTAACTACTCAGTTTTTCTGTTAATGTGTTTCTTTAATGAGTGTAACATGCAAATATACACAGATATTTAAATGGATTTCAAAAATTGCTATAACCCTCATTTGTTTAATTAAAGACAAAGGATAACTGAACTCCATTTTTAGTTTGGAGATGTATTTTAAGATTTGTGTGACTGAAGCGCCCACATGGGTTTCAAACTATGACGAACCAGTGTTGTTTGTGGTTGGAAGGATGAGTTATGGGAAAGAAAACTTAAATAGCAAATAAAAACTTAGGATAGAAGCAGAAATAGCCTCTGTGTGACACTCTTTCTCTTGCTCATCTTTTCCAGATGTGTGTGCTGCAGCTGACAGTGGAGAGCCCCGGTGCGTAGGACTGGAGAACGATCACTGTGCACCCAGGACTGTTCAGCACAGCAAGGTAGGGGGGGCTCAGCTCTCAGGAAGGCCATATTTCATCTTTTCTGCCAGGTTTATGTGTTTGTGTGTGGAAAGGGAAAAGGAAGCTATGCACATTGTTGCGAGCCTGTGCCCACTCGTGTGGCAGCTGTGAAGCTGTCAGAAAGCAGACTGGCACCAATCCGTGGCATTACCATAATTAGGATCGCCACCGGTATAAACACAGCTTATTACTGTCATGCAGACAGAAAGCTGAAGCTAGGCACTCCCATTGCCTCCAGTACCACCCCCTGCCCCCCCCCCCCCACACACAGAGGTAAACACGAGTCAACCTGAAAAAGACTTTGAAGAGCTCTTTTTTTTCTAATCACCGTCCAGAAATGTTTTTTATGCTTAATAGTTTTTTAAAAAAACAACGAAGATCGGATGGATATTTGTCCTGTCTGCTGTTAAATCTGATCAGAATTTTTTGATAAGTAAACTGATGTCACAGAAGTCATTAGCATCAGCCTGCCCTTTGGTAATATTTCCTCAGCAGTGTTGTAATTTATTGCACAAAAATGCGTACAGCAGTGTTTATTGGGAGCACTAATGAGTGTGTGTGGTCACTTGGAAAAGAAAAGCCACGTTAATGACATGGCCGGGTGCCTGAAATCTGATGTGTTCATGCATATTTACCTTCTCTCCAGCCTTTCAGCTAATATTTCATGTAATCTAAAGCTGTGTACAGTAATTGTTTCTACAACTGTGAGTGCATGTTTGGCTAATTTGTGTAATATGGAGCAAATGAAAATGGAGCTGGAGTTGGTGCATTTGCATTGGGTGGTATTGGATGGAAAATCCAGACCAAATATTTGGAAAGCATCGCCTCTTATCTAATTTCCTGCACAGAAGACGCTATGCAGTATTTGACCTGAGGTCAGATTGGAGGTGGATTAAAGGAAACAAGTCTCTTCTTCTCTTTATTCTGGCTCGATTCTTTTTGTTTGCCCAGAGACATGAGTCAGTCCCACTGCGCAGGGATCTGCAGTGCACCACCGCCACTGCTGCAGCTGCTGCTACTCCCTACCGTTTGTGTTTATATTCAAGGAATAAATGGAATAAAACTGTGTGTTTGCACAGAGGAGGTCTTTGAATTTGTGTCACTTGTATTATTGTGCACATCTGAGACACAAAGGGAGACGAATGTCACCTTTTTCATCATTGAGAGTCAACCACTGTGAAGGGAATGTGAAGATATCGGTGCTGGTAAATCACATTCTTGCCTCCACACAGAACTGAATTTAATCACAGCCCATTTTTTTTTTTTTCTGCAGGGTGTGGAGAAAAAAAAAAAAAAACCTGAATCACCAGGTAGAAAATTGGCTCCGTATCAGCATATAGGTTTATGCATGCACACTCAGTGCATTCTGAAAGTCAGTTGAGACAGATGGAGGAGAAGCATGAATTTCAAGCTTCCTGTCACATCTTGTAATCAGCTGCTTCATTAGACTGCCCACCTTTGAAGAATCAATCCTTTGTATTCCAATTTGCACTTGCACAAGAGAAATCTGTGTTCTTCTGCCTTAAGTTTCTTATTATTGTTTACCATCTGGGTGCTGATTTACATTTTTGTGCCTTGGGCTTAATAAAACATTTGGCCGTGGAGTGCCATAGCAAACGGGTTTAACACTGTGTTATGCTTGTGTTACGAGCTCAACCAATCGATTGCAGTTGTCAGCGAAAATGGTCCCGGCTATCTCCCACGAGACGCTTCAAACTAAACTGATTTGACCTGGATAGATGGTGGAACAATGCTGACAGGCAAAATTAAAACGGTAATTTCTATTTGTCACTTGTTATTTGGTGATTTACAGATGGCTAAAAAAGAACAAGTGACTCAGGGTTTTTATTTGATTACCAAATAATCATTTAAATCCTTTGTAAAGCAAAATGCAAAAAATATAATTTTTTTTGCTCCATCTAGCTTAATTTATGTACTTGTTTTTTCAGTCTTATATGATAATAAACTGGATACTGTAGTCCTTCGTTTATTGTGGGGGATCCGTACTCTGAAGTCCTGCGATAAGTGTAAAACCGCGAAGTAGGCATAGTAGTACAAGTAGTAAGTAGTAGTTTATTTTAGTATATACTGTGTGTGTGTGTGTGTATGTGGCCCTCGTTGACATCTTATCTGGCCCCCAAGACAATATTTTAAATGTAAAATACTTGTATCACTTAATTTTTTTCAGTAATCTTTGATGATGATGTCAAAAGTGCAACTTTTGACATCCATCCATCCGTCCAGTCAAACTCTTGTTGAGGAACCTGCAACCAAGAAAATATGCAGAGTATCTAACTTGAGTTAATGTAGATTCTGAAACTGGCCCTTAATTTGAAAAAGGGTTTAATTTTGACCCCCTTTTGTAAATGAGTTGGACACCCCAGCCTAACGCTATAAAAGGGCACAGAATGTCATGATTTCAGCTCCCTGCCTCTGCTGCTCTCCGCCCCCAGCAAGTCTCTTGGCCACGCCCACTTCTCTGCTCTGCACGGTGAACAGCTGATCAGCTGCAGCAGGAAGTTTATCCTGCAGTATAGGTTGCACAAAGGTGCAGCAGGTGCTAAATAATTTAAAATAATTATTTTAAATAAAAATGCCATGCCGATCGTGCGGCTCATCCATCAATCAGCCAATTGTGTGTCTTGTCCAATCTTATTTTGAAAAACCGCGATAAAGCAAGTCCGCGATAAACGAACTGCAAAGGAATGAGGGACTACTGTATATCAAAGTTGGTTGAAAATAATTAACTCTGGGCCAATTAAAAAAAATCTCATGTATTTGTTTCACTTAACTTTTTTACCCCATTGATGCAATTTGATGTAGACATGTTAAACAGATGTTTTCTACCAATAAAGCTGGTGGTTTGTGCTATAAGATCCATATAAAATACTAATGTAATGATACTGGAAAGAGAAAACAAACTGCAGCAGCAGCCAAAGCAAGTAGCTAACATTTGTGCAGAGTTTGGACAAATGTCATCCCTGTAAAGCACAGATCTTATTATTAACCTTCTGCAAATACAACCAGAAAGAGCCTCTGAGGATAGTTATTCAGGGACCTCATGCAATTACCTCCAAGACATCTCAAAAAGATGGCTGATCCAAAAGTTTGAGGTGAGTGGAAGCGCTGCCACAAGGTGACCATTTTGACAAAAAAAAAAAAAGCTACAATCTTGACAGGAAGCATTTTTAGTAACTCGTGCTGATATGTGTGGTTTTCAGTCTACTTGAAAATTTGAAACACTATAATCAAGAAAACACATGTTTAATAGATATTTGTTGTCGCATGAATTTTAATGAAGCAACTCTTCCTTAATTAACACAAACAATACTGTGATGCCACGTGAGTTATGATTTATATCTTTAGTTTTGGTATAAAAAGCAGCTTATATTTCCAAGTAGACATTCCTGCCTTGTTCGAAGCAAAGGTTAAACGGTGGACAGACATATTAAGCCTCTTTGTCTTCGTCTGGCCCGGCCATTTCAATAAGAGCCTTTAAATGGACTTATGAAAAGAGTTATAAGTGGAGCCATGTCTGGCTGTCAGTGTGGAGATTTTATGCTTGATTTATTAGTTTTAGATACCGATGTTATTGTTTCCCTCCGAGTAACGGTACAGATTAGACCCACACACATTTGAACAACATATCCCCTTGCAGTCTATTTTTCTCTGCTTCGTCTTCTTTTTGCGCTTATCTCAGTGAACGAGAGCAGTGTGAGGTGTTTCAACACATTTAGAAGAATGTGTGAACTCCTCTTTTATAGTACCTCGCAGACTTCACTACGATGCCTACAGATATTAGCATGCAGCTTCTTCAAACATAATCTTGACTTCCTTCCAGCTACACACATCCTCTCAGTAAACTTTAGAGAATCTCCCTTACCCGACTGCCGTGTGTGTTCCTGTTGACGAGGGTATAATTTGGAGGTGTGTGTGCACACGTTATGACTAAGCTCATCAGCCGCCATCTGGCCATGAACAACCTAATAATCTGGGCTTACTGCTTGCAGCTGAGTTAATGCAAGCCTCCTCTTGTCAGTCCACTCCACCGTACACAAGTTGGAGGTAAAAATATTCTAGAGGAGCAACAAAGACCTGAAACCATTATGACACCAGTTTGCCTGAAATGACCACACCAGGGGCTGCTGCAGTACCAACCGTAGCCCCAACAAGTAAAGATGAAGATCCTCATCAGTGCCTCTGCCTCACCACCTTAACCGAGCTCTTCATGCAGGATCGGTCACCAGCCCACGCCTTGTACTCTCTGCTAGCCATGTGCTGCTTCTGGTCCTGCAGCTCTGAAGCAGAGGAGATGGACCTTTTTCTGGGACCTGCACTGCTCAGCTTGGGAAGACTCCTCAAGGACAAGCTGGCCTGCCTGGCTGAGGACATGACTGCCTGCCTGTCCTGCCAGAGAGGCGCCAAAGGGGACAAACAGGCGGTAATTATGGGCTGATGTGCTTGTGGGTGGAATTAACGGGAGAGAGCTGATACCATGAGAATTCACACCTCAGCTGCTAACTTTCTTACTAATCCCAATTATAGTCTGTTGGTACTCCCCTGAGGATCCATGGGATGGACGAGACACGTTTGCCATCCATAAGCATTTCCACGCAAACTTTATGATTTATTTTTAGGCATCTTAGAATAAGAGTTGTGTATAATGATTCTTTGCCTTTGTACTAGCAGTCATGCAGTGGAGTGGGTCTGAATAGCCGGGGGGACTCAGTAGAATGGGTGCTTTAATCTGAAGCTGGCTTCATTATTAACATATATTCCCTCCTGAAGTCCTCTGAGAGTTGGCAGAATAATATTTGTTAAAGATGAATAATAAAAGGCATAAATGGGCTTGAGTGGAGCGCAACAGGACCAGCCCTCCCCTCTCATCTTCCTCTCTCCTTCCTTCAGCTCTGTTTGATTTATGAGTCTGTGCTTTCTTTTATTGGGCTTTGTAAAGAAGATGGCATTGTGGCGCTATA